TCTCTCGAGGAAAAAAATATTGCGCTCGCCTCGCACGGTAGTAGCTCATTTTCTCATGGGCGGGCCAAATTCTCTGGGTGGGCAAAGCAGAGAACGGGGAGGTAACCTTTCCCCGTATGACGACATAAAGGGAAGATTCCAGATTGGGCCATCTGAGCTTTCATTTTCTCAAAGGCGAAGCAGGATACCCAGGGCTCGGTTTACACCTATCGCCATTTCTAGCCACTGGGGGACCATAGGCAGGCTAGGGGAACTCATATTAATGTTAAAAAACCTCATAAAGTGAAATTTTCATGCCATGGGACCTTTAAACATTAATTTGTTTCTTACATTCATGCAGATGTCCGATTCACAAGACATTAATGATGGACTGGAGTGGTGTGGATTATTGTGATGTTTTTATCAGTTGTTTGTGCTCTCATTCTGACGGCACCCATTCACTGCAGAGGCACCCATTCACTGTCTTGATTCAGATGTGTGTGATCAAATGGGTGCCATTACATCATTGCTGAGCAATGATCAAATTTGATCACACACATCTGAATCAAGACAGTGAATGGGTGCCATCAAATGGGTGCCATTACATCATTGCTGAGCAAGTGATGTAATGCTACATTTCTTGAAATTCTGTTCTGATGAAGAAATAAACATCTTACATTTACATCTTAGATTGCCTGAGGTTCAGTACATTTTCAGAAATTAATTTTTTTGGGTGAACTATTCCTTTAATACACTTTCTTGCTCATTATTATGAATGATTCATCAGTGCATGTTCCTCCAACAGAAAATGATGTGTGTCTTAATTGTTCATCAAAATGTAAAACCTCGCTTCACTACTGAAACAACTTTTCTTTTTGTCTTTTATCACCCAGGCAGTGCAGGCTATTGATTAATGTTAATCAAATAACTTTAAAATCCCACTGTACCAGGCATCCTATGCTGCTTGCAGGAATAATTTCATTGCAAGGACCTTTCATAACATCGTCATTGTAAAAGGACAGCCAAAGGTTTTTACAAACTTGCTAACCAGGGTTGTGCAAAATTCAGAATTGGTTTTCTTTCAATTTACAAATGTGATTTAGAATTGAATTGGCCACACCCCACAGGAAATCAAATCTATCTATCTATCTATCTATCTATCTATCTATCTATCTATCTATCTATTGGGAGTCACATTAGGGTCCACTGGGTCAAACACAGAAGGACAGGGTGGGGCGAAATCCATCCCCTTTATGTGTGCAGCCCTGTCACTAACCCACTCCCACCCCTTACCTGAGTGCCACTTAACTTTTCAAGTGGACTCTCTACGCAGGGCAGCGCCACCATGGGCATGCCCAGCACAGACTCAGGGCGCTGGGGTCGCACCAGTGGGGGTGGGGGCTTTGTCTGCTGGAAGTTGTTGATAACACACGTCACCTAGAGAGAGAGAGAAGAGTGAGCGAAGAAAGAGAGGGAATAAAGAGAAGCAGCAGTGGAGCATGTGATGGAGAAATTGGATTTTTTAAATGCTTTTGAAAGAAGTGTCTTATGTTCACAAAGGCTGCATTTATTTGATCAAAAATAAAGTAAAAACAGTAATATTGTGAAATATTATTACAATTCTAAATAGCTGTTTTCTACTTGAATATACATATCTTAAAGTGTAATTTATTCCTGTGATGCAAAGCTGAATTTTCAGCATCATTACTCCAGTCTTCAGTGTCACATGATCCTTCAGAAATGAATCTATCTATCTATCTATCTATCTATCTATCTATCTCCATTTAGTTTAGTACAAAATATGAACTTAATATAATTCTGAACATGAACATGACATCTAACATTGCCTATATGTAAATTCAGAACTGTACACTCCTTAAAGGTATTCCTGGAATATTATATGAAAAGAGCTTTTTATTTACAAAAGTGCCTATAAAATAAATAAACTAGTTACAAAAGTTCTGTTAAGCAAAAAAGACTTTACGCAACATTCAAAGTTTGTCTTGATAAAACGTTAATTTCTAGTTAAAGCTTACTGTACAGAAATACTTCAAATTTCAATTTCATTCTACTTCCTTGCATTCAAAACTTTAATACTGAATCTGTTTGCTACCTCAAGTTCAAATTCATGAACTGTAAATCAAAAGGATTCTTCAATTCAATTCTGAATGCAGCACGACCCTGCTAGAAACACATGGTGATATGAATGTGAAAGCGTTGCTCACTATACAGGAAAGAAACTAGCTGACCTCCAGTTACCACTTTTGAAAACTTTCACAGAAATACCAACAACAATACAGATGCTGTCTTTACTGTTCTGTTGACGTCATGGGGAGCTTTTCTCTCCTGAGAAATGAAGAATCCAATCTATACTTTGATGAAAAACTGCAAGAATGTCTCATGTCTGAAAGCCTTGTGTCTAGGGAGACAATAATGAAAAGGCCTTCATGTCAGACTGTGCATTACATCTAGCTGGTGGAAAAATCCTTGCGAGCACGAACCAGGCATTAAATATTAAAAAGAATGCTGTGGTTGATTTTTATGTGTCTGTCATTCTGTCTATCAATTCCTTACGATGCATCCAAACATTATTACAAGAGCTGGTATCAAGAACATCTCCAAGTTTAGAGTTTTTTCCTTGATGTGCACTTACAGGATGTCCAGATAGCTGAAGCTGATGAGATTGTCCCAAGTGCATAGTGAATATGACTCAAAAACAAATCAATAGATAGTTTATGTATGTCATTTTTCAAAATCATACATTGTGATGACTATAAATGTAACTTAAAAACTCCATCAGTGCTAGGGTGAACATACGTCCTCTTTTCCTGGCTGGGATTTCTAAATTGCCTAAAATGTCCAGGTTTTGGCTTTGTTTTCCTATTGGTATAAAATTGGATTTTTTAAATGCTTTTGAAAGAAGTGTCTTATGTTCACAAAGGCTGCATTTATTTGATCAAAAATAAAGTAAAAACAGTAATATTGTGAAATATTATTACAATTCTAAATAGCTGTTTTCTACTTGAATATACATATCTTAAAGTGTAATTTATTCCTGTGATGCAAAGCTGAATTTTCAGCATCATTACTCCAGTCTTCAGTGTCACATGA